ATAAACAAAAATATCCTGAAAGTGAATGAAAAAAAGTTACTGATCAAACTTAATAACATCGTGCAATTGGGTCATACAATCATACAATTTTCCCTAAAAGATGTTACATGTGCATGTTCATATCTAGAAAAATGTTCATCTTTTGAACAACTTCTTGGAAGACCTAATTTGTACCCAGTGTACACATGTGTGTTGACATGTCAACCTTTTAAATGGTGAAAATGTCATAAATAAGTTGCAGGCAGGCAGGCATAAAACTCTTGACTACAAGAGATATATATATTCTATAATTCATAATCTCTGATGTTCAAAAAGCTCCCAGTACATTGTACACATACAGTCAAACCTGTACAGCTGACCAGCTCTGCTAAAGACCATCTGGTCATTCCAGCCACTTTTTGCTGGCCCCTTCAGTAATTTTTCCCATTGACACAAACATTATTAAGAATCCTGTCTAAGTGACCACCTGTCCACATAGACCATATTTTATCAGTCCCCTAAATGGTCTTTTCGGTCAGTTTTGACTGTACAATGTACATGTACTATAATAATCTCAGTATCTGGCTAGGATTTGGTACTAGTCTTGTACAAGTACATTTCTTTGTGCCAACTGGTATATCAGGCTTTCTACATACTAATTATGGTATCTGTAAAATTGTCAGGCTTTCTTTCTGCTCACTGTAGTGATAAATAGTAGGTGATACTGGCTTTTCTGTGACACGATGTATACTTAGGATATTTAACCCCCCAGGGCATTTTAGGGGGCCCACAAGCCCTTTTCCGTAGAGCGTAATCGGCCGTTTTAATTCTACGTGGAGCGTAGACGGACCGCTCTAATATTTTTGCGTAGAGCGTATTCGGCGTTTTAATTCTACGTAACGCGTTGTAGCCACTTGAAATTTATCGTAAAGCGTAATCGAGAGGTTTCCGAATTCAGCGTAGAGCGTTGTCGGGACCCCCCTTGCAGGCCCACATTTTAATCTGTTGCATTCCAAGTCTAAGGGTAGTGCTGTTAGTAGTGTTACAGTAGTAGTAATTATAGTAGTAGTAATGTAAAAGTATTTTACATGTACATGAGTTAAATCGATTTTTAAATTCATAACAAAATGATATGTTCTGTACCTGTATAGCCGGTATAACCGCCCTTCGGTGTAACACACCAAGTTGTTTCATACAATGTATATCATTTATATGTTCTGTTTCTTATCGTAGGCACTGGGTTCTTGATATTTATTGGTGGTAGCAAAAATTAAAGGGATTCCTAACTTGTTTCTGAAACGATGAAGGAAATGTGCTAGGAAATGGCAGTAAATGTCAATATCAGACAGATTTCCTCCATTTCTCATCTAGAAAATATTTTGTTTTTTTGCAACTGCATTGGATCCCTTTAAGCCTTCTCCCTGACCCATAACCAATGGAGAATTGTTAACCAAACGTCTACTTCAGTGGGCTAAAGGTTAAATAAGGCAATATATATTTTAAGACTGCATCGTAAATTCCGTAAATGTTTCGCAAAGTGCGTACTGTCGGTTGATTGGCTACCGTTGTGGTACAACGTTGCTAGGCTGGGCGTCGACTTCCTCCAATCAAAAGTTGATGATGTTGTCCGTAGGATTAACAGACTCGTTATAAAGTCGTTCTGAAGGCCAGGATTGTGTTGATATCAGTGATTAATCGTAATCTATTTACTAATCCGTTCTGGTAGAATTGATAACAAAGTAGTGAAAGAAGATAGATTTTATAGAACCATGGCAACTCTATCTAGACTGCACTGCTTGGTGATAAAATGTTGTTTAAACTGTTTATCATGACAATTAGCATACTGTAATGTCGAACTTTACAGGGAATGTATAATGTTCTGTGAGTTTTTAAGGCCCAGAAATTTCTGGAACAATTCCCTTAAAATTCCGTACACAATCAAAAATGATTTGTCTTATTTTTCTTGTTTGCTAATGGAAAGATTTTCCTATGTGAAGAAAATTAATTTCAAAAAATCAACAAGCTTTCAGAAAATATTGTGTGTCATTTCTTACACAAATTTGAAATTTTATAGTTTTATTCTGACTTTCTTTTCTCTTTAGTGAAGAAAATATTACCAGTGTGATACACATCAACAGGAATGTTAAAGAAAATTTAACAATATTCAGCATTATTATATATTCACATGATATAAAAATGGCTTTTAAGGTGTCCTCCCTGGCTAATTTGGCATATTAAGTTTTCATCGTTTTCTCACAAAGAAATTTAGAAGGATTGTAGTTGTACTGAATATTGATACCTGGGTACAAAAGGGTTATGAATATGATTTTATGGACCATATGGATGACGTGATCATATTTTATTGCCCCAAATGTAATTATCTTTAAAGTTATAATATAGCACTTTGGTACAAGTAACTGAAATAAAAGTATGATTTTCATGTGCATAATGGTCAAAGCTACAAACGTACGTTTGCACAAATTGATATCTACTAATTATCCGTAGTTATTAGAGAAAAAACTAATTGCCTAATTAAAATCTAGTTATTCTCTAATAACTACAGGTAATTAGTATTTAAATTTATATATTATAATATATACAAAATGAATTTGGACCTCGAAATACTCATAGTGCAATTCTGTACTATATGAGTTTGGAAATGCATGACTTTGTGGTCACTGCACAAACTCAGAAAACAAAATTAACCACTGAACATTTTTAACAGAGTACATTGTACTTGCTTTGCTACACTGTGGTTTTCATCTGCGTGAGAAAGAAAAGCTGATGAGTGGTAAAGACAAGTACTGTGTCAGTTTTAAAAGAAGGAAATCAGTGTGTAAACTTTCTTAGGCCCTTAATCTGTTGTTCTTAAGGATGACTGGTCAGTAGGTTTACACAGCGTGGTGGTGTGTCCACTCATTTATTTGTGGTCAGTTTTCAAGCTAAGTAAGGCCACGCTGTCTTGATTATATGGATGACATCCATGTATGCATGGATTTTTGTCTGTTTCAAAAAAAAGTTAACCACCCAACTGTTTTTTTAGGTAATTGAAAGATGGCAAAGGTCGAAAGGCAAAAAAAATACTCAACCACATTTTAGAAAATTAAGTAAAAAAAACATTACGATCTACTGTTTCTTTAGGTTATTAAAGGATGGCAAAGGCCAAAAGGAAAAAAAATACTCAACCACATTTTGGAAAATTAAGTAAAAAAAACTTTACGATCTACTGTTTATTTAGGTCATTAAAGGATGGCAAAGGTCAAATTAAAGGGGAAAAAAATACTCAATTTTAGAAGATTAAGTCAAAAACGTTTATGACCATACTGAAGGGTGGCAGAGGTCAAAAAGTAAACTGCTTTTACAAATTTTAGGAATCTAAGCTCACAGTCAAATGGTAACAACACACAGAGGTTCAAACACAAGTGGATCTGAAGTCTTACTTGTTACCACTCGCCTTTTAAATGGGAAACTACAGACAAAGGGGTTGAGAGGACTTGTATCTCAAATTAAACTCGTGATCTGAAAATATGTAATATTACACTACAGGATATGAAAATTTGTTGTTCTGTTTATTCAGTAATGTACATTAGTTATGAAATGTCATATTTAACAACAACATACTAGAAATAATCTTGTCAGTCTTGTGTTTTCTAATTCTAAATGTAAACTAAATTTTGGTAAGTTTTGAAGCTGCAATTATATAGTGTTTGCCATAAGTTGAAATAACAATTTTTGCCACATGCATTTATAAAACTAATTCTTTCTTTGCTCAAGTTGACTGTCAGAATAAAAAAAACGGTTGCTTCTTCCAATTTATCTGTAGGTTGCATTATTTGAGATTTGTTTGATTATCATTTTTAAGTTAGTCTCAAATGACGTCCAGTATAAGATAATAAATCCACTTCAACTTGAGGTTTGTTATAGCAACTACCAGTGTATGCAGTTTTAATGTGCTTTAATTGAGAAGTTTACTTTGCAAGAGTACTTATAAGGCTTATGTTCTACTTATATCTAACCATGCACCCTTTACAAGAGCTAAGCCTTATAAAAATGTTATCTCGAAAGCAGTAACATTATACTGCACTTAGTGTCAGTTGAAGATTAGAACAAACGACAACATACCTAGGAGACATACATACAAACGTGTTTTGTTTCGAGAAGAATTTGCGCTGGGAAAAACAGACTAAAAGTAAAACACCTGCGACGTTTTGAAAAGAATTTGCGCTGGGAAACGAGAAAACAGACTTTAAACAGTAGCACACCTGGTCAGTTGTCCAGTTGTTTGGACATCCCCAGGCCACTGAGTGGTGGACGGTGATGAATGAAGACTCCAGTGTTTGATGTATTTGTTCTGTCCACTCTGTGATGATGAGTGATTTATGGCTGTTCTGTAATCACACTGCTAATTGCAGTATAGTAGACAAAAGGGTCTAAATGTCCTGAGGGAAAGGCGATGTAAATGCTTATAAGACTGGCGATTCTGAGAAGACTAGACTGAGTGTTGTTAGTACACTTACACCTGGATTCTTCACGGTTTTCATTTGATATTTGATCAATGTTGCAGCAGAAATTTACCTGTTGCAGACGATATCTTTTGCGACATAACATTTGGAAACTATAGACAGGATGTCATCCTTAAATACGCTAATACCACCTTAAACGAGACATTCTGGCGAAATGTTAATATGCATGGGCTTTGCACAGGCGCAGTACATTCTCCCAACATGCTAATTGATTTACATTATATGTATGGTAAGAGATTGTGGAACCTTTGTTAATCTTAGCCTTTTTTTCAAATCTTGTTCACAAAACCCTCAGTTTAAAGAGACTTTAATAGTGCGATCAGGTGCAGGGGTGTTCAGTTCAGTTATTTGTTTAAAGTTAAAACTTTGGATTCAACACAAAGTTTTAACTTTAAACATGTAACTACCAACACAGATGAACTTTCATGACAGTTCAGTTATTGTTATTGATGTGTGCTTGAATTGTATCTTGATTTGTTATTGTTTTTTTGTTTACAGATCCATTATCGAGGAACCTAGCTTCTCCGCCCCGATGAGCCAGAAAGCGCGGGTGAGCAGTGCCGACCGCCAGGTAAACCAGATTTTTTAATTTTCATTTATCACCTCTCTGTAAATGAAGATTTTAATTTCGGTTTGCTTCTGTGGCTGTAGTTATTTGAATATGACAAGAAGTGAGGGGGAAATTGTATAACTGCAAATTGAAGATCAAATTGGGCTGGTTTCTGTTACAGTAGTTATTTGAACATGGTAGAGTGACAAGAAGTGAGGGGGGAATGTTGTGACCACAGACTGGTGTGAAGGTCAATGTGGAGGCCAAAATGGTTTCTTTAGTTATTTGAATATGGTAGAGTGACAAAACGTGAGGGGGGGGGGGAAAGGTGTAACCGCAGACTGACAGGAAGGTCAGACTGGATGTCAAAATGGTTTCCCCGCAGGCTTGGAGGAAGTGTCAGCAGTTTTAAAGCAAATGTAAATAATTAAAGCACCTTTTGGAACAAGGGTACAACATTGCAATTGGGCCTGCTTGGGATTTGAACCCAGAACTCTTAGATTCTAAGTCTAAGCAATTCTAACCACAAGACCACCTTGTCTTCCAGGTGAACCACACGCGGGTGGAAGATGAGAGTTCCATACAGGAGCACTATGACTTCGGCCCCAAGCTGGGACAGGGCAGCTTCGGCATCGTGTTTGAGGCAGTTCACAAGGAAACAGGCGTCAGATGGGCCATCAAGAAGGTCAACAAGGAAAAGGTTTGTGCAGAAAATTATACTCAACAATGTAAAATCATTGAATACAAAGTACATTTTTTGTCCAAATTAGTCTTAGGACTTGTTATGACATCCTAAATGTACCTAGGTTTTGTTTTGGGGGAGTTTGTATATTGCTTGTGTTTCTGTAGCTGTTATTTCCACATACGGTGTAACATAAATGTGGAGTACATTGACAGGAAATTAGGTCAAAGGTCCCAGAAAAGGCTATCTAAAAATAATTTCGACAATTTATCACCATGACCTTAAGATGAAAGTTGTTTGTATTGTTCATTTTTGATGTTCATGTTAAGGTCGAAATTTTGAAGTTACTTGAGTATGGTAGAGTAACCAGAAGTGAGGGGTGAAATGGTGTAACCGTAGACTGACATGACGGTCAAATTGGATGTCAAAATGGTTGTACATGTATTGTTCATTTTTAACCTTCAGTATGTTAAGATAAGGCAGCCATTCGGCATCATATTTGTACTGGTTATCAAGTTAATTCTAAGGGTTAAACTTGACGTCTTCTTCTTTTTTCTCCAGGCGGGTAGCTCTGCAGTGAAGCTCCTGGAGAGAGAGGTGGCCATCTTGAAAAAGGTGAACCACCCGAATCTCATCCACCTGGAGGAGGTCTTTGAGACACCCAGGGTAAGACACATTATGTCTTCTTCTCTAAACCCCCTGTCACACATTATTTTTGGCAGCAAAATTTGACTCAAATTTAACTCATATTCTATTCGATCCAGAAAAGTAGGCGTGGCCTAAATCAGGTCAGACTGCTGCCAAACTTCAACCAAGTATGGTCGGCCGGTGTTCAGAGAATTATATATAAAAAATATATAATTATTATTAAGCCTTCCACCACCTGTAATTTTGCCTGTACTCTAGTCTTGATGCCAAGTTATGTAAAGAAAGAATTCTAAACTTTTTCTTTAAGTCTAAATGTAAAATCTTGTACTTTGTCTTGGTGCTAAGTTATGCAAAGTAAACAGGATTCTAAAGTGCTTCTCTAAAAATGTAAACTAAGTCACGATTTTTCTGCTGACTGAGTTTGTGTAAGAACCTTGTTTCCTGGTCACACATCGGGATTCCATGGTAGCTTAACCAAACACCAAACAAAAAAGTGTGGGAAAGTTTGGGGAACATCTGTTTACTGGCTGAACCGTATTGTTGGTTAAACACACTCAAATATTGCTTTTGAATTAGTATTGTTACTTAGCTGGAAAAAGGTTATAAGCATTAGTAGCATGTTTGTAACAGTTGTAGTTATCGTAGTGGAAAATAGGAATAATTTGCATTTTAACAAACTGATCACAATTAGCCCAGCCTAACATACATGTATAGGAATGCAAAAAGACACATAAAGTACAAATATTTGGCAGAATGCTTGGAAAGGGGGGAAACCCCCTGCAATGTACTAGGAGCCTTCTTTGACACTCCAGGAATTTGAAGTGATCATACTCCTTTTTGTAGGCAAAGCATTTCTCTCCAAATAAAGGTTCACTGAATGTGTAATCTGCATTACATGTAGTTCGTATTTTTATGTTAGAAACCTGGACTTTGGCAACTATTTAGAGCGCCAGCTTGCAATTTGAAATCTTTAAAAAGTGCATTTTTTTTGGAGGAAATAATATGTAGATCAAAACATAGGGCTGTCCTCCATATTTTTCTACAAAACATAGGGCTGTCCTCCGTATTTTTCTACACAGAAACTGTTAATAAACCTTTAACGTTTAACTTATATAGTGTATTATTTTTGTTTCCCCAGAAAATGTACCTAGTTCTGGAGCTGTGTGAGTCGGGGGAACTGAAGGATTACTTTGACAAGAAGGGGTCCTTCTCTGAAGAGGAGACAAAACACATTATCAAGAACCTGGCCAGTGCAATAGCTTATCTCCACAAAAACGGTCAGTTCTTTTAAAAAATTTTCTTTGCTCTAGCAGAAATCGTATCATTGAATAAGTACATGAATGAATGAATTATATTAAGATTATGATACCAAATCCATCAATCATAATATTATGATTGATTGATTGATTGATTTGATAACTGAATGAATAAATGAACCAGTAGATGGATGATTGGATGAAGGACAGCAAAATTTGATGAAAACTTGCATTGTAATGTTCATTGATATGATAAGCCATTGTCTCAAAGATAAATAAAAATATTAATTGATACATAGTTTTGTTTTTTGTAATAAGAACAATTTTCTCCTCATTTTCATGCAAAAATTGTACACACTTAAATTCTGTTCATTCTTAGAATTGCATTGCTATTCTATTGAATAGAATTTAAGTCGACAATAGTAGCCTTTGTTTGTTTGTTTATGAAGAATGTTTGTCCCTACAGATACCGTCCATCGTGATTTGAAGTTAGAGAACATTCTAGTTAGACCAGATGAATCCAGTAAGGAGGAAAGTGAAGAAAGGGCGGAGCAAGACCTCCTCAATGTCAAGGTGCGATACCGTAAAATCACTTATTTTCACAGTGTCTTAATTTTGCTGTAGAATGTTTTACATTTTTTCAAAGGCATTCAATGCAGTCTTTTTTTTCAGGCTGGCAAAACTGGATCTTGAAAGTCAATTGTCTGGTCATTCTTATAATGTTTTATTTCGAATCAAACCTATCCTTTTGCAGCATGCTGATATCTTTGAAATGGAAAATTTTAAAATGCGATTTTGCTGACGCAGAACAGTGAGTTGATTGATTTGTACTTGTCCTAGGCTGGTTTTAGCTATTTAAGGGCAGGACCCTCAAATTACATTGAATGCCTTCAATTCTACAGCTGCACAATCATGTTACTATCGTTAATACATTAGAATAAGATATTACCAAGAAAATAAGACCACATTGACTGCAAACATTTCAAGATTAATATGAAAATTACCTACATTTACTCACAATCCAAAAATAGCTAATGACAATCATTCATGCATGGTTGAATGGTTTATTAACAGTGGTTAATTTCCAACTTGTATTTTTTACATTACTTACTGTAGTATCTGACAGGTACTAAATTACGTTCTTTGTGTATTTCTCTTCTAGATCTCGGACTTTGGGTTGTCTATAGTTAAGGGGAGATCGGGTAGTGATTCCATGATGCAGGATGTCTGCGGTACTCCCATCTATATGGGTAAGTCTTTATACTGTTCTTTCAATCACAGCATAGCTACATAACAAATTATAGAAACTATTTTAAGAAACAGAAACCAGAAATAGCAACAGACCAGAATGGATGTAAACAAACCTGGTGGGAAAGTTGCAGAGAGTCCTTTTTTTTTTCGTTGTACAATTCAAGCTCAGCTCTCATAATTCTGCCATAGATGCCCTAAGGTTGTCCTCTTTAAAAAAAAAATGTTAAAGGCCCTCTCAAGAATATCTTGAACACCAGAATATCTGAAATGTTACCTCTTAGATGTATGAATGCACAATTTATTTTAGTAAATATCTTACACTTCAGCACACTGAAGTAGTCACTTGGCCACATGTGCCAATTGTGTTTTAATTTGGTTACAGGTAAGACATTGAGGAGACGAGGGTTAAATGTACCTTTTTGTCAATGATGTTAGCTACCACAAAGATCTTAAAAGAAAGAAAGAAACAAATCTGACAGCACCAAGGCCTTGAAATAAATATTCCAAACTGCATATTACTTGTACTAACTGTCGTTATTTTTGGCATGTTTGTCCCTCCAGCTCCAGAGGTGTTGAATAATCACGATTAAAATCAGACTGAGTATAAATTGCAAACTGACAGTGTATAAAAATTACATAAAATGTCTACTAACTGTCGTTATTTTTTGCATGTTCGTCCCTCCAGCTCCAGAGGTGTTGAATAATCACGATTACAGTCAACAGTGTGACGTGTGGAGCATAGGAGTCATCATGTACATGCTGTAAGTAGCCTTTGGCACTAATAAATATTTTTTTAGAAAAAAACAACAAGAAATCAGACATTTAAAACACAGTACTGGAAGTGGAGTTTTTGTGAATTCATTGCCACAACCAAAGATGGTTTGACATTATAAAATAGGCCAGGCAGGAACCTTGCAGATCACTTGTTGTGATACCAGTAACTTTGTGGGGTGGACTCACAATTAGACTTCCAACTTGACCTTCCGGTCAATCTGCATAACATGACTATCGCTGCAGGTTGGCTGGCCATCCACCATTCTTCGCGAAAGAAGAGGAGAAACTCTACGACTTAATAAAGAAAGGAGAGTTGGACTTCTCTGAACCTGTCTGGGAAGATATTTCTGAAGATGGTAAGTTATTTTTTTTCTCAAATATGGACTTTGAACATGGTCTTTTACTTTACTTTGTTTGTCACAAAGTTAGCTCAGATAATTGAAATGAAGTTGACAATTCAATAGAAAAAGTAATTTGGTATATGACACGTTAAATGAAAAGCCACTACACTATATAAAAGTAGCCATGAAAGCCAGGTAACCCATATGCAGAGGATGTCACTAGACTTGACTGTACAAAATGTACATCAGTTGCGAGGTGGTCCTTATATGCAAAGGTGGTCACTACCTACTGGTTTGACTGTATGATACATATAGAATACAACACGGGGTTTTCCGTATCACCCGAGGTATCGGCCGCCGAGGGCGATCAGACTCGCGGAAGGGGCCGGGACCGAGGGCGATGCGGAATACACCGTGTTGTATTTTATTTATGTCATACCCACCCAAGAAAACACGCCTTTCAATGCGAAATGAGCGAAAATTTGGTGTCCCTAAAGCCAAAAAATGCAACAACATCAATTCCAACGTCAGAATTTTGTGTTCGAATTTTCGAAAGCGGTGCAAGCGGTTTGGGCGAAACGCGTTCGAATTGTTCAATGGAACATTTGGAAGGCCCGGGCCGTACGCGTTAAGAACCCCCGGGCCATACCGCTAGTTATCACACGGGCCGGAACACCCGTATCGAACGTAATCGCGGCCTAGGTAGGACATAAAATACAATACAATACACAGTTACTGTATCATATACAAATGATTGAACCTTTTATAATTCCATAATTATAATAGGCTGCTGTCTTTTCCTTTGAAATTCCTGACTGTATGGATCTGAAGATCAAGTGTTGGAACCCTTCTTTAATCTCTAGATCTGGTCTAAGACTCCTTGCACCTCTCCTCCCTCTATCCCTGTTTCTCCAGACTTGTGTCCTGTAAGGTACTGTGACATTCTAGCAGTCTTTCATGCACGAGCAAAAATGCATGAGGCATAATATAAATTGTGCATGAACTTGCATGTTGCAATTAGAAGCAAGGACGACTAGTAGTTATAAAAAGGGAGTGTATGATGTTTGTCTAAGTCCTAGACTTTAATGAACAATAATTCATTGGAATATGCCACTGTCACTCACAATAAAAATCGGATAACAAAATGGTGTCGGAAAACATGTTTTGACACCATTTTGTTCTGACACCTAGAGTTAGGAATAAGGACGTAGGAATGTTAGAACATAGGCATGTAACCACAAAAGGATGCAAATTTATTTGATGCCCCTTGGTCAGCATACTCCAACAAGACTGTAATGTGAACGATGCATTTTGGATTTGATAAACAATAATTATTGATGATTTCTGTCTGCTTTTCTCCAGCTAAGAGCATCCTGAGCAGTATGTTGCGTGTGGACCCTGCTCACAGACTAACGGCTAGTCAGATCCTGGACCATCCATGGGTTACCGTAAGTTGTTTTAAGCCCCTGTCACATGACTGAATATAGCCTCCTGAACACTGCCAAACTCCCTACAACCATGGTTAGGAGTAGGTGGGGAGCAAGGTTGGTTGGTGTTCGGCTGCACCAGCCGAAATTGTTTCAAAATGTTTCAAACATTTGGGTGTGGACGAGAGTTGGTTGGTAGTCGGGGTGTGGTTGGCAGTCAAATTTGACTCAAATTTAACTTTGATTTGATTTGTATGAAAAGGTAGGTGACGGTGACTGGCCTAAATCTGGTCAGGCTGCTTTTAAACTTCAGCCAACCTTGGTTACTAGCAACAAGAAAAGTTGATACTAATTTTACAAACTTAAGGTCCTTGTTACATGTTTGTACATGAGTAGTTTCATTGGATTGGTAGAACATACATGTATATAATAGGGATTTTCTTGTACACTTTTACAACCAGAACTTCTCACACCTTGTTCATACGTTTTGGTGTCTATCAGAAACCTTCTGACTGGAGTTCTGCTTCTGCATTGAATGCTACATATAGCGGCGAGAAGCAGAACTCCAGTCAGAAGCTCTGAGAAGGGTTTCTGATAGACACCAAAATGTAAACAAGTTGGGAGAAGTTCTGGTTGTGTAACAGAAAATCCCTTTATCCTACGTCCTTGTTACTGTTTGAACCACTGACAGTTGATGTTTTGTGCCCAGGGGCTTGATGGGAACTCCACCCAGCCTACAAACGTGTTAGAACTGATGAAACAGTGGGGGAAGGAGTTGAGAGATGAGGAGTTTTCAGAGGAGGGTGAGGACAACAACAATCAGGTATGTCTACGTATACGTTTCCTATCGTTGTTTTTGCATTGGATGGGCTGACCACTCACTCGTGGCAGCCAGGGTCAGAATTGGGAAGATCTCACAATTGTTGGGGCAGGATTAATATTGTAAGGGTCTGGAGTGGCTGCAACCATAGACCTTATGGTCACTTTTAGTGTCACAGCATGGCCACAGACTTTTTTACTGAAGATAACTTATTATTAACAGAATATCAAATAACATGCTATGTAGTACTAGGATATAAGTGACCTAAAATTTGCACTGCACAAATAACTTACAGACAACAACCTATCAATAAAGTATCATTGATCGGCTACGATTAACGGACAGAGACTAGCGAGAGACCTAGAAGATATCTAGAGATGGGTTACACTTATTAAGAGGGAGGGAGAAGGTAAGAGCTGAACAGAAAAAAATGGAAAGCAGTTGTGGCCCAAATTTGGGAAGCAGCGATGATGGTGATTATGATGATGATGATGATGATGATGATCGTGAAGCAGCAATGATGATGATGATGATGGCTTGCTACTCCTCAGGAAAAAGGCATGCAGACCATTACAGTCAATCCATGGTCTCTGGAAAGATGTGCCATGATAGTTGGAGTACATAAATATAGTGTTTGATGACTTACTGTAAATTGTTTTGTCCCCAGACTGAAGAAGACCTCCAGGAGAACGGTCTGGAAGAGGACGAGAACCAGGGACCAGAGGACAAGGAAAAGTCAAAGGTGAGGGTCAAGGGTCAGAAGGGTAAAGGTCAATGGTCAGGAAAGGTCAGGGTTCATAGGTGAGGGACTAGAGATCAAGGGTAATTAAGTGAAGGTGATTAAAACATAAGAGTAAGGGTAAAAAGACGAAAGGTTGAGTAGAGTTAAAGGTCAAATCCATGTTAAAGGTTGTACATTTAAGAGATTTTGAACATCATTAAATTAATGTTAGTGTACATTCAGGTTGTACACAAATATGGAAGGAAAATAAGGTTTTGAATTTATCATTCAGATTCATAGTGGATTAGAAGTGGTGACAAAAATTAGAATATCATTTGAGTTTTTGACCTTTGAAAAGAAACTGATTGAGTGTGACAGGGTTAGATATGTTGACATGTATCTTGTGTAGTGCTTTATGCTCCTAGCTTTGCCTGTGGTGGCATCATGTGGTGATGGGTTCTTTGCTTTTGTCATGCTACTACATGTAGTGTCCTGTAATGACAAGTGGCTTGAAATTTTGTAAAATTCATGTTGAATATAATTCAAATTCAAAAATATTTGATGTACTGTATTGTAGAGTTAATGTGTAGTGTTGCAAAGAAAAAATGCCACCCAAACGTTATTTCAAGGTTACATTGAATAGGACTGAAATTATAGCATTTCTTTTCCCTATGTCAGAAATATGATTAAGATATACAAATGTAAAGAAGAAAAAAGAACACATTTTTTGCTAACAGAAGCAATTGGAAAATCTTGGTTGTATAGCTGTACAGCTAAGATTTTCTGTATCTTATTATTATTATTATTTCTGATAGTATATACTATAATTAGGATGGTCCCAAGCAGCCTTTATAACGACTGCTTATGAATTCTCTTAGTGGTAATAGTTAGTCAGTGATCCGAGCTTGTCTCAATCATAATGTACATGTTGTATCTGACATGGGAAGAAGAGATGCTTTTGTCCTATTCGTGTAACCTTAAAATGACCTTGAGGTCATGTTACCTGGTGACATCTAGTAAAAAACTAGAGAAGTAATGTTTACCTTCGGACATGGTCTGCTCTGTTAATTCTTACTCAAACACATTCACATACATGTACTACGAGTACATGGTGACAGGAGTAGAGCAGACCATGAAATTGCAACATTATGTAACCCAACACCAGTCACCATGGTGACAGAGGTCAACAAATCATGTCATTGGCCAGGTCAGAGGTTAGTGTTTGGAACTGAAGAGAAAGAAACTGAGTAAAAACAATATGTTTTCCTTCGGTAAACATAAAAAAGAATTCCAAGCCACTTGTGTCGTGAATGTTGTATGTCAATCAGCCGTGTTCCTTGCAGAGTTTGACGTCCCTCACTGGGCATGTGCAGCGCCGATCGTCAGCAGACACTGCTGAACAACTGCACGAAGCAGAGATGCATCGAATTCGAAAGGCTAGCATCACGTCATTCCATACCGGCTGCACACGGCATTAACCGCTGTTTCTCAGATCAAGCCGGCTTTCTTAGATACTGTGAAGATTTTAACATTTTTGCTGTGGTTTTAATTTTGTGCTTTTCACCACAAAAACAAAATCACAGCGAAGGTGACTAAATGTACAGTAATACTGAGTGCTCCACAGCAATCAGTTTTCAATCAAATTGTTATTGCAAAGTGAAAAATTCCTTTGAGGCTCAGTGCTTTTTATTACTAGAATTAATATGATATCTTACTCGAATGAGCTTGCATACTGCTCTGTATTTCATCTTTAGTTGAATCAATATTGATCAGTATGATTGTAAAATATCCAAATTGATCAGAATTTGGAAGGAAAATACAATGTATGCCCAATCCAGATGGCAGCATTGCAATGATAAAAAAATAACAGTTCTTCCATGGTTTATGATTGACACATTTTTCGTATTTTTTTCTTTCACCCAAAGAGTTAAAAGTTTGACCTTTTTGTTTCCTAAAAAGCAGCATACATGTACAGATATTATAGCCTACAGAAATATTTCAAAAGTTTCCAATATGTTTTCCTCATTGTAGTCAGTGAATTATTTCCAAAGAGATTATTATCCCCCCCCCCCTCCCCCAGTGATCTGAGAAACATGTTGTGGTGCTACATAACCATGAATTGCTTCCCATCCCAACAGTAGTGTCAGCCCACCAGGCTGAGACTGCATACTGCATGGCTTCTCACATGTGTGAAACTCTAACCTTCACCCCAATTCATTTCCTTGGTTCTCGGACATTTTAACGTTAGTAAAAATTCAGCCAGAGTTGACAAAATCAAAACAGAAAATGTTCTTTTCCACCCCTGACTGGTCCGGACTGGCCAGGCCACCAACCCTAAACTTGAATCTGACAACATATTTTACGAAGTATATTTGTGGTAGCAAAATTTCGTGGTCTGAGGAAAATGGACATGTTAACGGAACTATGTTTTTGCAGTGGCAGCAGGTGCAGAGAAAAGAATGTTGGCAAATTATTTGTTCGCGATATTGATAAATTCGCAGTACAGAAGTACCCCTCTGTTTCCATGTTGATATTCCAGTTCATCCTATTTGATGAATGTTTGAGAACCAAGAAATTAAATTGGTAAAGCCTAACGGCCACATTAATGCATGGCAGATTCCTCTGCAGAGTGACCTCCTCATTCATTTCATCCAGTTTGCCCCAAGTATACTACTGGTCATTAGAAGGTACCAAAAATGCACAGAAAAAAAACGGTTAATTCCTTCAAGGATGACACATCTTTATACCTGTAGTTTATTTATTTGGTACTACATGGTTCTGGGTGGGACTTGAGAGTGGTGTGATGGTGTAGAAGTAAGGGTTTTCACACATAATTGTGTGGACAAGAGGAAGTAAGCCAATAAGCAATCAAAAACATTGTGTGTTCACCGTAATTCACATTGACTTAGCATTGGTACATATAGATATAACATTTTTCCAATAAATGAAATACACACACACAAAATTTTACGCCACTCTACTAGTTTGATTCTCAGAAGCGTATATGATCTATCACTTTATGACTTGAAGAAAAAAGTTGCTTGGTGGAACTTAAGATAATGTTGTAAAGCATACTTACCTGTCTACCCAAATTTGATAAAACAGTCCCTTTATATTTATTTCAAACAGTCACTTAAAGTAGAGACATGTAGGTAAGACATTGCCATCTAGATATAGTATGACAAGATACCATCATGATAAGTTTGTGAACTTTAAGATAGTGAAGGGGTCATCAGTTATGCTACTTTGCTCAAAGAACAGTGTCTTCCCACAAAATCCTGCATGATTCCATCATTTCATCAACATGCATTTCACAACCTGCACTTTACTAACAGCTCACCGTGTGGCACTGCTGCATTGACATTTTGCTTGCTTGTCTTCATGAGTTTGCTAGCGTTTTGTTATTTGATTGTTGTTTTAACAACGTTTTCTTTGCAGTGTGAACTTTGCTGAGGTGGCTGAGCTAGATGCATTTTCATTGATTTTGTTTGAAGTTTAAGCGGACTAATATTAATAGTCACTTCAAAACAAAGTAGCCTTTCAATTTACAGTCATGTACATGTAATTATTGTCTTCTGCCGAAATGCTGTCCAAATTAGTTATTTTAAGGCAGGAAGAAAGCAGACATATCAGAGTGTATGAGAGTAGGTTGATAACACTTGGGGGGAAGATTGACTGGGAAAATGACACTAGGTCAAAAGGTCAGATATACATTGTTCATGTAGGAAATGGCCAGCAGCAAGAATTGCATGTGGGACCAATACTTTTCGTGAAAACCCATTGGCAAATACTTCTTGGAAACCTGAATTCTCTCACTGATATTTGAAAATGTGTAATGAAATGTGTTGCCATAAAATATGATAGTTAGTTAGTTCAAATTATAGCAATTAGAGTCAGATACTGTATCTGAGACAAGTCATATTTCGGTGTGATATAACCAGCCGCTGCTGACAAAAGCTGGTGTATTACACCAAAGGGAAATTTAGACTGACCAACCAATTCACTAATTCAGAATGCATACATGTACACAAATGTACTTAATCAAAACTTATACATGTACGATTACAATGTACACAATCACGCACCCTATATATATAAAAAATCGTGAACCTCGGACCATGCCTTCAAACTTTATCGTGCATAATCTGCCAAACAGTGCCAAAACGATTTCATAGTTTTGATAAACAATCAATTATAGTTAGACATGAACCAGTTCTGGAGTGTTTCTAACTTGTCTGCCCCCCTCCCCAGGCCGCGGGTGCAGGTAGAAGAGCCTCCATGCCGGCGCCGTACCTGTCACAACATAATCCTACCAACAGGAAAGTCAGCGCTGCACCCAAATTCTCCTCGCATAAACCGGTAAGTCTTTAGCATTTGCTTAGGTCTGAGACATTGGTGGTGATAGAGTTGAAGCTGCGTATACAATGTCATGTAGTATATATTATTAATATGTTTTCACCAAAATACATTATATTGTACATGATAGGTATCTGATAGAATTTGTTTAGAAGACCACATTTTATTAAATTCTTCGTTTGTTGTCTCCACTTTACTCTCAAGATGAAAACAAAAGTGGACTCTCCAGAAATTGTCAAGTCTCATCGACGTAAAACGGGCAAGAACAAACACCCGAGAAGTGTACAGATCACAGAGGGGGTAACACTGGTTTTCCCACTTTGGTGGAGGGGCTAAGGTTTTTCTGTATCTAATGCTACCAGGAATCTGGCTTGAATGGAGCAATATGTAATGTACATGTAAATCTTGTAATATTCCAGTGGTTTGTTTCCAGCTGAAGTTGCTAATTAAGTTATGGTACCAGCCAATCACGCCATCTCCTGATTGACTGGGCAAGAGAGAGGCCAGCCATCTGATTGGCTGACATTGGCCAGTGCTAACAACCCCAGAAAGAAGGATTGTTAGCTATTGAACGTCAGTTAATTTACCAGCCAATCACTTTGTCTTTTGACCGTAAGAGGCGATATGATTGGCTGGGAACAACAGGTGGGCATGTGCCATGGGAGTATTTGATTGGCTGACAGTGGGCCAGTGCTAACACCGTCAAAAGGAAAGATTGCAAGCTGTTGAAGGCTGTTGTTCCCAAGTAATCTACAAGCCAATGATATTGTCTCATGACCATCAGAGGCAATATGATTGGCTGGAAACAACAGGTGGGCATGGACCAGAGGAGTACAATGTATCTGATTGGCTGATAGTGGGCCAGTGCTAACACCCCTTTTGACAATACAAGGGGCAGAGACGTAGAGCCCTTGAGGAAAGCAAGTGTTTTAATGTTCTATTCTAATCTTGTGTTCCAGTCAACACCAGTGTCACCAATGAAGGAAAAGAGAAATAGCGTTTCGCTAGGCACCTCCATCAGCAGACAAGCCAAGCCGTCGCCTCTCAACTCACCCCACACAACAGCCAAGAGCTACAAGCCCTCCACCCCTGGGCAGTTGCCAAAATCCTCCTCACCTGGGGGCAAACCAACCAATGGGAAAGTAAAGAAAAAGCCAAGTACATAGTAAAAGGTGAAAGGTCGAAGGTTAAAGGCCATATGTAAGATGTATAGGAGATTTTATGCATGCAAAGCTTTGCTTTATTCTGTAAAAGAAATTGAAGATGCTGCAAAGTTGTGTGTTTTTTTTTTATTAGACTGGAAGTTTTATTATTTGAGTTGCAAAAAAAGCTTCTTGTGAATTCTGGGGGGAAAGATATTTTTCTGGGGGGAAAGATATTTTTCCTTAGAAGACTAAAATGGTCGTGAAGAGTTGTGGGCTGTGTAATAGAATATAACAATTTTCAAAAAAATAAATGCAAAAAAGGCTTTGTGAGAAAGACATTCATGAGACCATTGAATATGTGTTACACAGCTGCACCTGTGATTTTTTTTACCTCTCTAAAACAATTTCATGTTTTCAAATTGTACTGTGTGTGATTCTAACATTTGTCATACAACTCTATGTTCAAGGAAGAATACAATATGGTACATCAAATGGTGTAACAGTTTTCTTATAATTATTTTGGGCTATTCCATTTCAGCTTCATAGGGGGCAGGTTTTAAGTTGGAGAAAATTGAGAAACATTTATTTCTCGAGTATATTCTGACATTAAAAGGAACCATTGAAAAGAGGGAAAACTGGCACATTTTTTCATAATGAAATGACTGATATGGAAGAGTCCAAACAGAACAAACAAAATCTCAGAACAGAATCATATGGCCACAAATTTGGTGCTAGCTTAACTGAAAGTTGAGAGCAAAGGTCACTTGTGACACTTCTCATATACATGTACATGTACATGTTGGAATAGATTACAAAATCTTCCCTACAACCATACTAGATACATTTCAACATGCAGTTGAATCCAGGGTATGGGTCATAAGAAAAGGAGGGTCAGAAATGGTTTTGAAGCATAGTCATTTTTGCACTGCTGAAAAGGTGTTCGTTGAAACCCTTGAGTCATCCTCATGCTCTTGTGCCTTATACAAGTGTGAGCTGCGCTGCTTTGTAGCATTTTTTAACTTAAAAGAAGAATCTTTTAGAATTTGCACCAAATGTAAATATTCTAAGCTTGAACCCGGGAGACAGATTTTAAAATGTGTGATCATCACATCAAGTTGTGATAGGCCTAAAGTTTGTAACTAATTGTAAATATGTGACTTGTTTTTTCTGTGGTAGAAAATTTAGCGTTTTGTTGGTCTTTACTTCCCGATTTCCACAGAATTGCTATGTGGATAGACAAAAAAAAACTGTGGAGAAGTTATGATGTGTATATGCACAATAACTAAGTAAGCTGTAAAGTACAAGAAGCTCTGAGGTGAAACACTGGTGTTAAACTTTACCTGGTGACTCCTTGTAGCTGTCATTCCGTCAGGAAATGCAAGGAGGCGTTGCTGCACTAGAAAACTTGTTCCAGGTGTTGTAATCCTGCTTAGTAGCCATTGGCTAAAGGTAGAATTGATTGACAGCAAAAGGGAACAACGTTGAACCAAAGGAAAGATTATGCTACCAATGAGACTGTATTTTTTGTAAGGTGTGAATATTTTGTGGAAGATAACGTAATAATAATGTATTCCGTCCATACAGACAACTTCAGTGACGTAACTACAGTATTCACTTTTGTGACTACTGCCTCTGTTTATAGCATGATTTCATGGCTTACTGCAAGTTTTGACAAGACATTCTGACATTGTAACAATTTTTGTATGAGTAGTAAAATAATGTTCTTGTGACACAAACTAAAGAAAACATTTCAAATGTGGCTGCTACATTTCTAAGAACTTGATTGAACTTCTACTCATGGCCACTAGATGGCGCTACTACAAGGATGCAGTCCCAAACATGACTAATTCTATATCCCCCTCTTCAGTGTAGAATAGACTCTTTGATCCAGTGTGTCACATGTAGAACATTATTTTCCTACGACCTACCAACGTGATGAAGCATTTCTCAGATTGTAAAGAGTAGTTTATGACGATGTTTTGATTGAAAGCACACAGCCTTGTACAGCTGTCTCCTGTGTTAACAGCACACATGTAGACTGCCGTGTGACATTACTGCACAGGGAATAAACCGCTAAGTGTTCCTTTTTTTCACATCACTTTGTCTGTCTTTGTTTGACGTGACTTCTACATAATATGTAACAACCTGATGCTTGTAACTACGATATGTTTTTATTCTACAACAAACAATGCTCACTGAGTCAGAGAATACAGATGAAAGGTACTCTGGTGCCTTGTAAAGTCTTGATTACAAATTAAACTGATCGTAAATTCTGGGTTTGGTGCACTTGACAAAACACAATGAATGAAGTCATTCAGTTCAATTCCCTGTAGCATTTAGTATGCATGACTTTTACAATGAATGTTACATACAAGTGGCCTTGAGTTCTAGATCTACACAATGAAAGGCACAAAACAGAATGTAGAACTAGAAAACCTGGTACACATTACATGTATTTGTGGTGGACATGCTAATATGACTGATTTTTTTACATCAAGCAATGAGATTGCAAAGTGAGAAAAGGTAAGACCGAAGCATCAAATTGTGTGATAGTTCCATTCATATTAAAATTATGTAACACTCTTCTTTTTAATGGCTAAACTAAAATGCACAGACTATTGTATTTCAATGCAAGAAAAGTATTGGATGCTACTTTAAACGTCTGGCAGTTGTCAAAATCTATTTTTTAATTTTTTTTATCTATCTAGTATCTGGATGTTTGCTATTGAGTATTACTAACTGTGTATGTCATTGCCTGGACGTCTAACTTTCATATCCACATAGTGTTTTCATTAATACTCTGACCCTGGAAAGAGTCAACGTTTACTTGCTGTTAACATCTTACTTTTACGTTTTTCTTGCTTTAATTTACTAGGTGGAACCTGCTGACAGTGGGTTTGAGGCTGATCGGATTGTGGTTGCTGTACAACTGTAACTGTTGTTTTTTGCTGGGCATTTGACTTGTCAGATTTGCTGGTGGCAAGTGAAGCCATCCGTGCTGTCACCTCATCCACGTCCACTTCAGTGGGCAGCTGCTGTTCAGCTGTCTCAGGTATTGGAGATGACAGCTGTCCAGCTGTACATGTACATGTAATGTATAAAGATCATATTTATTTTTTGCAAGACAAGTAGATCAACATTTTGCATGGAATATTGTTCATTATGACTTTGCCAAACTCATCATTTTGCATTTTCGTACCAGGACAAAAGGGCCCGTAGCAAACCGTAATATTTTAGTAAGATCAACTTTTATATGGTAATGCATGGAACTCAGTTATGTCAGTAAGTAATTTTTAATCAGACCTACCTTCCATTTTTCCAGTTGCTCAAGATCTTATCTATTTGTTTGTCACCATTTCTGGGGTGATATTTAGTCTGTAGAAATTGAAATAAAAACAGGTTGAAACTGAAGACATTCTTGTCCTTGGTGCTGAAAGCCATATCTAAGTAATGTCACCTGTACATATAACGCTCCATTAGTCATAATAAAACAAGCATTCGTCTGGTGGAAAAACGATTATGAATATGGTCACAAGTCAATATTAATGTTATCTAACTTACATTTTTCAGCTACAAAAAGTGAACGCTTCTATGAAGCCATTCAGATAGAGGACAACTCAATCACGAATACTGGACACACAAATATAATATTCCTCTGTTGGGTACAAGTTTGGTGAACTATGTTGCCTTTGCTCGCTTAAGACCTTAAAAACTTTTATGTTTCTGTCTTGTGTTATGAAATTTGGGTTCAGCCTTGTTCACGAATCTACATGTAGGCCTTTTGCATTTCTAGGAAGACCCAGTTTCATGACAACGATTTTTATTTCGTCTGTCCAGATTAAACGAGAGTGGCGTCGACTATAACCTGATTTAAAAAACTTCATCGATTAAAAAAAAAATTCTAGACATCAAACAAATCATTTTCGAAAACTAATCTCTTTGTCCTGATTTCGTCTAGACGATTAGTTTTCCGCTATTGCTTCTGGGAAAAATCAGTTATCAATAAAGCCCCGATCAACACAAAATCCACACATTTCTCTTCAGCTCCATTTTCGAACTAGTTGGCCGTTCAGCGACCTTTTCGGTTTCTTTCTGAGTGTAGCTGTGAAAGTGGACAGGGAACAGAGGTACAGACATTCGTAACTGATGTAGAGACGTACTGGATAAGGGAACGTAGTAGCAAACAAATTAGTTCAAAGCAAATTTAGAATCCTTCCAACAGCTTTTGGCGTATTGGGCAGTGCTTTTTAATAGCGCTTGGCTCATATGACAGAGTGCATCGTTCATAGATCACCTGTTGCCTTGCCCTTTGGCAGTGGTAAGTTTGAGTCCCGTCTGTTGTCACTCACCCCGCTTGCATGCTACTGGAAAGGGTCCTTAGGATGAGACATTAGGCCATGGTCCACCGTTCATTGTGCTTGTCGAAAAAGACTAGGGGAATTTCCCAGTACAGTGAATCTGTAAATACTGTGCTTAGCGTCTATCGTATTTGTCACGACCAGCGAGAGGGTAGCTCAACTGTTCGTTGGGGGTAAACTTTCAAAATCGTTTTCACTTTTCTTTCACTGTTTTCTATCAGAGAATGTCTCATTCAACAGACCTATCCGTGTGTGGTAAAGAGGAGCGCCATTCTGTAGTGTTAAAGGAAGACAACATTCCTGTACCTGTATCTACAAGTAGTAGTCAGGCAGTCAAGGCCCAAATCGTAAGTCCAGAGGATTTGGCGGTATCTGGAAGCTATAACGACTCAGAACCGGTAGAAACGGAGCCAAGTAAAGGTCAGACAGTTACGGTAGAAATAGTGACCACTCCAGACGACTCCTACTCAACCGTTTCATCGGGTCCTTATGCAGAAGCACAGCCAGTTCAGTCATGTAACGTGCCTTCTAGTCTGACGGTTAGAACAGAAACAGTGGTTGGTCCTGAAGATTGTTACTCAACCATATCAGGACCATATAACAACCCAGAACCAGTCATGATACAACCAGGTAACGACTCTACTAGTCTGACAGTTAGAACAGAAGTAGAGGCTAGTCCGGAGGACGGTTACTCAACCATATCAGGACCCTATAACAACCCAGAGCCAGTCGTAATACAACCAGGGAACAACTCTACTAGTCAGACAGTTACAACAAAAGTAGAGGCTGGTCCGGAGGACGGTTACTCAACCATATCAGGACACTATAACAACCCAGAGCCAGTCGTGATACAACCAGGTAACAACTCTACTAGTCAGACAGTTAGAACAGAAGTAGAGGCTAGTCCGGAGGACGGTTACTCAAACGTATCAGGACCATATAACAACCCAGAGCCAGTCGTGATACAACCAGGTAACGACTCTACTAGTCAGACAGTTAGAACAGAAGTAGAGGCTAGTCCGGAGGACGGTTACTCAAACGTATCAGGACCATATAACAACCCAGAGCCAGTCGTGATACAACCAGGTAACGACTCTACTAGTCTGACAGTTAGAACAGAAGCTGAAGCTAGTCCGCAGGACGGTTACTCAAACATATCAGGACCCTATAACAACCCAGAGCCAGTCGTGATACAACAAGGTAACGACACTACTAGTCAGACAGTTAGACCAGAAGTAGAGGCTAGTCCGGAGGACGGTTACTCAACTATATCAGGCATCTATACGGACCCACATGACGTCCAACTCGGAAGAACTGCAGCCGGGCGGGACCGACTTCGAAGCCCAGACTTAGAATCGTCTGATCACAACGCTTCGCCTTCAGGTAAGTCGAATACTTACTTCGATAGATAATTTCATGGCTATCTTTCCGATTAATGCTCACTTCTTGCTACACCTTGTAAGAGCTTTTCAGCATAGCGCTAGATTCTCTTCTAATTAATTGCACTATCCAAATACCAGTCTCTGAGTAATTGAACAGCGATAGTTTCTTTCCGCGCACTGTAGAATTTTTAAACTCTCCTTCAATTTTTATCCCGAATACAAGCCTTTGAAACCTAGCATAGTAACCTATACCTTCCACCGACTTGGTTCAGTGCCCAAAAGTGGTCTTTTTGGCCTTCCATAACATAATAAAACTCGTTGATAAATACAAATACATTGTACGTGAGGTAAGACTTTTCGGCAAACTTTTCTTTGCAATTTTAAGACATCCTCTTGGAAAAAACTTTTCTGTTACTTAATTCAACATATTGTCGTCATAGCCTGTTTAAAGATAAGTACAAATTAGCCTAACTAAATCTCGCTTGTAACGGTCTAGAGGGTGTGTGTGTGGGTGGGGGATTTTGTAACACGAGTTTGTAACGCAGGCTACTTCTAAATGATTGAACCATTCTTTTACAGACGGCGTAGAGGAGAAAACTATCCACCGTGGTCGATTCAGGCACATTTTCTCACGGCCTAAACTGGCCTGGGCTTTGATGATGACTTCGGTAGTTGCAGTAACATTGACGGTAACATTGGTGGGAGTCTTCCTAGGTGGACCCATGGAAGACAGTCATTCGGACGATCTACATCCTGCAACATCTTTGGATACTGAGGTAAAACATATTAATTGTTAAAGAATTATGTTTAAACTTCTTGTGTTCGTATGAGACTTAGAAGCCCCTACAAAATATGGTTAATTCGTATACTTTAGCCAGGAACCCTAATACCATCACTCAAAATGATTAACTTAAAGACTCTCTTTGGTCTTTTAATTTGGTCTTTAGTCTTGGTTTGAGAGGGTAATTTAGAATATTTTGAGCACGAATTCCCCGTGCATTACTGAAGCTGCGTTGTAGATTCACCGCTGTTTTCTCCCAAACTAAACGACTAATTAAAACTTTAAGAAACAAACAAGAGATGTAGGAAAATGTGTGTATTTTAGAATTTTTCTCTAAATGTTGCATTGCCAGTATAATTATGCAGGTAAACTAAGAATAATTCTTTCAAGACCTATATAAGAATGTAAATGTAGGTAAACATTGGTTGTCAGGCTGCTGCTTGAGCTCTTTTAATCAGTCTCATACTTACCTATACGACCTACTTTGTTTAATCTGCTTCCATGATTTGTCTGCCCTAATTCTACCATTTGGCTTTTCAATGAATATATTTCGGCTTGTTATTTTAAGCAACAGTCAGACATCTTAATGTATTCATTGAAAGTTTGAATAGTGGAATTAGGCCACAAATTCGGTCTAAATTTGTCGTTTGTTGTGAATTGCAGCCGACAATTGTGCATGTAACACCGAGCAATGGCCCCTGGCAGTACAGGTTTAGTGCCACCAATATGGTGATCCGTGTTGGACCGGGATCTGCTAACCATAGCATGGTGAGTACATAGTCATGCCCTAATCTTTTCGGAAGTATTGTTCTGGGTGGCTGAGTTGCGGGTTTGTGTGTGGTGGATGGGAGGTGATTTTGGAGGTTGATAGGAGGGTCAAACCTAAAAGTGATCCCGGGTGAGAGTTAACTTCAAATGGTTGGTATTGGGAGGAATTCAGGGAGTGGTACATTTCATGAATAAATTACATCATACAATCCAGCTTCGTAGTTCTAAGTTTGAAGGAACCGCCGTAAACTCAAGCTGATAAAAAATCAGACTGATAAAAATCAAATCGACTTTACAGTAATCTGAATCTGTGTTTTTTTTTGCTCCTTAGATTCCAGAGTCTACCCATGGCAGTGCCATAAATGCAACATTCACTGTTGAGCCTACAACTATTCAACCCAACTCTAGTAACGCTGATGGTAAATGTGAATGGGTCAGACGTCACATTCATTCAACATTTGCATCACGAAGAATCAAGATTCTATATCACAAATGGACCCCTTTTAAATTGTGTTTATTGGGCAATTAAGTATCGTAGGAATCAAACGATTCACGGAGGCATCCAATTTTATACATCTATGGTGGCGTAGTCACATTTACACAATTTTCGTAGGTCGTAGTAAGAATGTGTAGTACTTTCAAGCAGACAGTGGCGGAACTAATAAAAATCGACAAGGATCCACTAAGACTTTCCCTCAGCAACTTGTAGGTCAAATTCACGACTATCCCAAGAATACATTCAATTTTGTACGACGTGGGCAGTCCTTAATTTGATTTTTGGTTACTTAAAACGAATAGTTGAACGATATGTCTTGATGTTTTTACTATAGAAACACCAGAAGGAATCATCACACGTCGCAACGTGATTTTTAGTGTGGGTGGACCAAATGCGGGAACATTATCGTTGAGTGCAATCGCCGTGTCGTCTGCAAACGAAATCTTCCTGGCCGATCGGTATAACCATCGCATACACATCCACAACATGGAGGGCGCGTATCTTGGCAATTTTCCAACTCTCGTGCCAGGCTATGCAGTTTATGTTAGGTCGATGATACCACAAGATATGTCCATTGACGGGAAGGACAATCTGTGGGTGGTAGGGCATATCTCGCAGCTATGCTCTGCAGTTGTACAGTATAGCAAGGAAGGGCAGGGACTATCCATTTTCCAAAAGTGCGGTGAAAGGTACGGAGGAATCGCAGTAGATCTTCGCAACAACCACATCGTTTTGAAACAAGTAAACAAGCTGGAAGTCCACATATATCGTCCCGACGGCTCGCTGGTGAGAAAGATCGGCGGAAAACAGTTTGCCTATTCAAACGCGGTCGTTGTCAACAACATACATGGAAGCATCCTTATGCTGAAAGAAAACACGGTTCGCGTAGTACTATATAACCAGTACGGACAGGATTTCTACAGTTTCGGCAGCCGGGGAAGCGGCGAGGGAGAACTCATGGTTCCCACCGACATCTGTACGGACAGTTCTGGTCAAGTTATCGTAGCGGAGCGAAGAAACAGGCGGGTTTCCGTGTTCACAAGCCGCGGGGAGTTTGTCCGCCATGTGCGCACTGGACAGAAGATGGTCAAGCTTGTTGCCGTGGGACCAAAAGGACAGTTGGTCGTGACGTATCACTTTGATGACACTGTAACTATCTTCTCAACGTATTGAGGAGTTGAAGAAGAGAAAGAAGACGACAATCATATAGATTTTAGTTCCTATATATGTTTTCATTAGGTTCTTCTCTACCTCGTATCATTTACCCGTTTGCTTTTCTACTGAGTTGCCTATGTGTATGTACCAGTTATGCTACATGCCGCCGTTGTTAAAATATACTTTCAATGTTGCTACCATTATGTATTACCAACGCATTTGTAGTCAAACTTCGTAATTTCGGACAGTGACGTAAAGCCAGTTGTCCCGTGTATGGGGAAGCCTTAGAGGCCGATCCTCTGCATGAAAAAGAACCCAACACACTTACAAGTAGGGGTAAGTAGAAGAGTAGAGGTGGCCCGATGTGTTTGGCTATAAAGGAGACCCCTATCGAGGTTGTACTGCACTGCCATCTACCAAAGAACCATTACATTTCAAGTTCGTATTTGTAAGAAAGTGTATCTGTATTTAGCTGTGCAGGGCGTATTGTTGCTTTTTTTCTTTTACTTAAATGATAATTATCATCATCTTATGAATGGTTGTTTTATCTGACAATGGGCTGTGCGTAATCTCAGCCGGCATGTATGTGATAATGGTTTACAAGCTTCTCACTTTAAATTAGTGTTGTCATGATTACATTACACTATACAAGAGTTCGGAGACCTGCAGTGTAAAGTTTGTTTTATTTTGCACAAAGGAGATATGTGTTTGGCTGTGTATGGATGGTGTTCAGCACCAAGGACAGGCATGTTAGCGTGTGGATGGTGTTCAGCACCAAGGACAGGCATGTTAGCGTGTGGATGGTGTTCAGCACCAAGGACAGGCATGTTAGTGTGTGGATGGTGTTCAGCACCAAGGACAGGCATGTTAGCGTGTGGATGGTGTTCAGCACCAAGGACAGGCATGTTAGTGTGTGGATGGTGTTCAGCACCAAGGACAGGAATGTTCGTGTGTGGGTGGTGTTCAGCTCTAAGGACAGACGAATGAATGTTGTTGAATGCACTTACTACTTCAAGTACATTCATAACACAGCTAAGATGCGTTCCCACTGTACATTTACTATGAAACTGTTTTAATCACGGATTTAAAAGACAGCGTAAACGTATTTTCCCATTCTGTCGAAAAGTCCCACGAAAAATGTATTTACAGTTACTTCAAAATTGTACCGAAGTTTTTCTCAAGTTTCATGTTGTGGCCATATGTAACATTTTTTTTATGAAAACGTTAACTATGGCATTGTGGAGCTTTATTTTCTTTCATAAATTCATCCTACCTGAGATTAAAACCAGTAGTCTCCGTAATTAGATTCTATCCTCCTCACTATTCGCCGTATATTGCCCAGCACCGAGACGGGCTGTCATTGGTCGTCTTAATTAGATTACCAGTTTGGCATTAATTAGGCACGGCTGTACTGCACACCTGTGTAAAAACCACGTTGGCGTGGTCTTTTCAAAATGGCGCCGCGTTCGTACAACGGGGATAATCTGGGCTGAAACTTTGAAATTTTCTGGGTAGTTTTCCCATTTTTTGTCGGTAGAATGTTTTTCCTAAGTGTGCAGCAGAACGTTGAGGAAGTTTTCGCCGTGGATTTGTCCAGGTCTGGGGATGTTTTGAAGAGAAAATGTGGATTTCCTGACCCGACGAATTTTGGAGAAGACAACAAAATGGCGAGGCCGTGGCAGTTGGGAAGAGTAGCGTGGCATGGAGACGACTTCGCTTGTTGTTACAGGTACACCAACTATTTGGCTGAAATTATTCCCTAGTAACTTGTAAGAACATGTTGAGTCATATTTTGCAAGAAGTGTCCTAATTCTGTAGGTTCTGAGTGGCCTTGCTTTATTTGAGACAGTCTTTGAAAAAGGGAAAATTATTTTGCCGCGTTTTCTTGAAAAATTTCCGTATGTAGCATGCCTCCAGGTTATCAAATATTGTGTTTCATTTCATGTCTTGTCTTTTCAATTTGACCTTTTCAGTGTATATTCGTAAAATAAGAATGCTATTAGAAAAAATGGTCTTTTTCTGCACGTGGTTCAAAAACACCCGTTGGCATGTGCACGTGTACATAATTAGATTTCATGATGTTCGGACTTCCCGCCAAAAACGTGCGTAAGCAAAAACGGGGTCTTCAAAGTCTAAATTCTCTAACATTAACTTGTCGCAAAGTTCGGAAACTTCAGTCTAATTTTTGTACGATGTCTAAGTTTTAGTTGTTGTTTCTATCCGTGTTTACGCGGTCACTAGGTCCAGTTTTGGTCGAGGTTTTTGTACCTAAGGCCACACCAATTTAATTTGTTGGTTCTCGGATTCGCCTCTTCGTTTTTTTCTGATTTCCAAAAAAAAAATCGATTCTGGCCCTGAATCAACTGAAAAATGCTCATGTTTTGCCCCCAACAGTTGAGGAAAGTCCTTTTCTTCCTAGTTGTTACAGTTTTCCCATCTATCATTGCAGTGGTTTGATTAAAAGTTAAAAATTCAATGTTTACATTTTAACCCAGCCTTTTGTGTTCACTTCATGGCTCATTCCGTAGCATAATAATGGGATGCCTAGACCTGTTTTTATTTTTTTCGCCCTGTCGCTTCGTATTTTTTCTTAAAAAATTATTCTCAACAAATTATTCATGTGTAGGAATGTACGAAAGACCATAGGTACAATTATTTTTTTTCTTGTGTGTACCTTGGCTTGAGTTTCTATGTCTTTCGTAGAAATGACAAACCTTGTGCTTTGCATTGTGTGAAAAACTAGTCTTTTTATGGAAGAATTTTACCAAGTTTGCTGTTCATCATTTGAACTGCAACTGTGAATAACTTAAAGAATCTCAGTTCCTATGCTTTATCATAACTTTATATTATGCTGGCTGATTTTTACTGGTAGTTAAAATGAGAAAAACAAGCTTACGATGATCCATAGAATAAGTAATTAAGACTTTAATTATGGGAATTTTGACTTAATTCTCTTACTGCCTCATGTCTTATCATGTCTGCCTCAATTAATTTTTTCCTTCAGATAAAAGAAAATCAGAGAAGTAACATGTAAAAAGCCGTAAAAAGCAGAAAATGGTACTATCTGAGACAAGTGTATAACTTGCAGTGTCTGTATAGTTAGGTGGCTGCTGACTGATGCAGTAGTGAGGACTCCTGTCTGAACCTGACAAGAGAAGATTGGACCAGACCTGGAGAATTGAAGACCACAGATGAATATCAGGTGAGAAAAATCTGATTCTGCATTTTACCTACCATTTACTTGACAATGTGTTATTTGAGACAAGTGTGTAACTTGTAATGTCTGTATTATATAGTTAGGTGGCTGCTGACTGATGCAGTAGTGATGACTCCTGTCTGAACCTGACAAGAGAAGATTGGACCAGACCTGGAGAATTGAAGACCACAGATGAATATCAGGTGAGAAAAATCTGATTCTGCATTTTACCTACCATTTACTTGACAATGTGTTATTTGAGACAAGTGTGTAACTTGTAATGTCTGTATAGTTAGGTAGCTGCTGACTGATGCAGTAGTGAGGACTCCTGTCTGAACCTTACAGAAGATTGGACCAGACCAGACCTGAAGATTTGAATACCACAGATGAATATCAGGTGAGAAAAATCTGATTCTGCATTTTACCTACCATTTACTTGTTATTTGAGACAAGTGTGTAACTTGTAATGTCTGTATAGTTAGGTAGCTGCTGACTGATGCAGTAGTGAGGACTCCTGTCTGAACCTGACGAGAGAAGATTGGACCAGACCAGGACTTAATATTTGAAGACACAAGAGCAAGATGACAACAACATCCACAGGTGAGACAAATTGGTTTCTAAGATTGGTTTGACTGACAAGAAATCTTCCCATACATTTTACACTCTATAAAAATAACACATAACTGACAAAAAACAAGTTACACATTTGATAATTATCTATTTCATATTTTTAAATTAAAATGGTAATTCAGTGTTGCTTGGATTTTTTTTGGATGCATCAAACTTATTTTTTCCTTATATATTGGTAGTTAGGTGTGTCCTGACGTTCCTGTCCTGACAGAGAAATCTGTGATGAGGGGTGACGTCTGTGCAAACCAGCTGACAGAAGACATGATGAAGAGTTTGAACAGGTGAGATAATACCTTACAAGTTACATTGTACAGTCACCTTTTCACCTTTAAAAACACCTTATAGAGGCCAACACTTTTGGTACTTACATGTATGCAAATAAAGTTCCATTGCTTCAAAGTGTGACTTTATTGTTATCTTATGATCATCAGGTGTTGCCTGGAGATGTTTACTAATTATTCTTTCTCACTCATATATAGGTGTCCTGAGGGTCAGCTGTCCTGATGTTCCTGTCCTGACTGGGAAAAACCTGTGATGATGGGTGACTTCTGTCCAGACCAGGTGACTTGAAGACACAGTGAAGACTTTGTACAGGTGAGACAATGCTTTATTTACATTTTACATGAGTTTTTCCTTACCTCTCAGATGTGTAAGAACTGGGGCCTGACATGCTGCAAGTAACACTTTTAAAAACAATATTCTAGAGCATAACTTTCTACATTTTGTACATCTAGTCAAGGATAGTTCCATTGCATGATCTCTTCATTACTTATAATGTAGTTACTCAGTGTTGCCTGGGGATGTTTTTCCATCACACTAATTATACTTTCATATCGTTAGGTGTGTCCTGAGGGTTGGCTGTCCTGACTGAAAAACCTGTGAAGACGGCTCAGCAAACCAGATGAGTTGATAACGTGAGGGAAATGAAGACTTTCCAAAAGTAAGTCCCTGTATTTCATATATCATATTTCTTGCACTAAGGCCATACTGATCTGATTATGTGGATGACAAGTCAAAGTTTATTGCACAACGATTGTCACGGGTACAATGTATGGCAAATAATAAAGTTTCTAGTTGGTGTGTGTCTATCATAATACTACATATATGGTCAACGGTTACTGTGTCTGACAGGGTGTTATAAAGAACTACTGGCTAGAAACTATTTTGACTCAACATTTACGTTCTACATTAATACATAACTATACTTCTGAAGTGTACAGTGAGCAGTTGTAACTATATACAAAACATGTTCTATGACTACTAAACAGAGTGTAGACTAAGTTAATTGCCAGGAATGTTACAATTATACATATAAACGCTACACTATATACAGCTATTCTAAGGCCACACCAATTCAATTTCTTGGTTAACGGATTTTCTAGAAAAATAATGGAGCAAGTGGGAAAAAAAATAATTAAAAACAGGCCCAGGCATTGATAGTTTCCA